CAATGGCTATCGTTATGTAATAAATTTTTTTTTTCACTGTATGATATGTAAGAGCATGACTAGGAATATCCGAAAACAATTGTTCGCTCACCGACTCGTTTTCTCAATGTTATTATGGGAATATTCAAGATTTTAACGAAGCTTTTGATTCTGTGATATACGGACTGCTTCTTCACAAAATCAAACGCTTTGGGCATGAAGGACATCTACAAAGATGGTTAATCACTTTTCTCATGAAAAGAACCTTCGCAGTGAGGGTAGGGGAGGTAAGTTCTCAGGTCGTTGGATTGCCCAGTGGAGTTCCTCAAGGTTTGGTTCTTGGACCGTTACTTTTCCTTTTATTCATAAATAACTCAACAGGGTTATTGAATCTACCTTGTTTCGTAAAGGTGGTGGGATCAAGTGGCAGGGCTATCCTAGCGAGGGACATGGAACGTGTATTTGAGTGGTCACTAAATGCAGACAAGTGTCAGTTATTGTCCAAGGCACAGGGTTCATTAGTAGCTATCGGTACGTGAGGAGTTTTCGAAGTTGAACCGGTGGAAACAACCATGGATCTTGGGGTAGTAAAGAATTCGGATGTCATTTGGGGCAACAAATGTCTTGTAGAAAACTGGAAATCTTTGTCCCATTGTAAAAAACAATAGTAAGACCTCAATCGGAATATTGTGTCTAAGTGTAGGTACCTCAGCACAACAAAACGCCACCTGCTTGGAGAAACGGCAGAGACTAACTACAAGAAGTTTGGAGGGGCACAGAGGTTAATAATATCAGGAAAGATTACGAGACCTCGACCTATTTTCACTGGAAAGTGGGCGAACTAGGAGAGACATTATATAAAGGTTTAAAATTAGAAGGGGATTATCTGGAATCCCCCTGAGAATTTTTTCACTTATGTCCGTAATACTTGTAACAGGGTCTTGAGTATGAACTAATGAAGAAACGGTGTGTATTAGGTGTGAAGTATAAATAATTCAGCAATATAATAATAAACAGGTGGAAAAGGCTACTCGAGGAGCTAGTCAACCTGCCTTGTGGTCACACCCTCAAAATGGCTTTGGAAAAGAGGTGAATAGAACTGTTCCCCGACGAGGAGTACTGTGCAGGATACGAAGTTTAGGTACACAACTTGTTGTGTGCAATAAAAGTCTGTTTCTTTGTTTGCAGATAAACGGGGAAACTGCTCGATTAAAGTGGTGGATGCACACTTGTGAGCATACCACCAAAGGAATTCGGGACGCTCGACTGACCCGTGACCACTACCACTAACTTGCAACCGGTCTCTCATGAATCAATCACTGAGCACCGTGTAGCCGAGTTTGGATCCAAAAACGTGAACAAAAGGAACTACCCAGCAAAATTCTACGATAATGCATTAATGAACGATTAAATGAGCAAATAAAACATGTACAAACCTCAAACGTGATCTCAAAACAACTTAAAGGCAAGAGCCAAACGTTATTGTGAGCATAACTGAAGGAATCTGAACGAGTCTGGACAGAGCACCACAAGCAACATCCATAGAGGATACTGAGCTACTTGCAGTTATGCAAATGTGCCTTTCAAAGTCCCAAAAGGTTCTAATAGTTGGAGACTTCTATCTTCCGGAGATCGACTGGGGCGCGTGCAACGAGTGGGTCTACAGGTGAAACTCTACTAGACTGGCTACAATCACACGCGCTGACACAACACGTTAGGTAGACCACAAGATTCAGGGATCAACAGAGGTCGTCCATCTTGGAACTAGTTATAACAAGATATGTTTCGGATGTAAGCGAGATAAAACTAGAGGAACCATTGGGCAAAATTGATCACCTAGAGAGATTCCTGCTCACGGAAAAGCACGGGAAGCCGGAAGCCTCATTGGTACGGTGCTATAGTCGTATAAATGAGGCGGCCTTGAGTGAAGCAGTGGAACAGGTCATCTGGACACCAGAGCCTCCCGAGCCCACAGTGGAAGAGAGATGGCGTCAGATCCAAGTAGGTATATACCGGCTTTATGGACGAGTTCGCTCCGTTACGTCCGAGGCGTATAAATCACAGACCACTGTGGTGGCGGCCCAAGCTAGACAGGGTACTTAAAACCCGCCGACGATGTTGGGCAAATTATCGAATTTATGGCACACATCAGGCATGGTGTCAATACAAGACGGCTCGAAATAAGGTGCAGGCTCTGCAACGAGAAGGAAGGTATATCTATAAAAGGAACCTTGCGCAGCACATTAAGCATAATCCCAAAAGGTTTTATGCCTACGTGCAAGGCAACAAAAATATAAAAGAAAGTGTGGGCACTTTGGAGGTGAGTGGAGGTAGCTTGGCTACATCAGACCAAGATAAGGCAACCAGCGTTTTAGTCTTTTTTAAGAGTGTATACCGTCAATCAGTGCAAACGGTTGTTGTGGAGCCCACTGCACCGCGATTAGATATACCAGCGATTAGTGAAATAATCATTCGCGAGAGTGATGTAGCCAGGGAACCCGCGTCACTAAATCGACATAAGGCTGCAGGGCCGGATGCCATACACCCTGCTATAGTTCGCCCACTAGCGGGACTTCTAGCACGTCCGGTAACCGTCCTTTTTGAGCAATCACCAAGAACAGGGGTATTACCAGAGGACTGGCGCAAGGCAACTGTTGTTGTTATATACAAGTCAGGATCGAGGCATGAGATGAGCAACTATCGGCCAGTTAGCCTGACATCCGTTCTGTGCAAATGCTTGGAACGGATCATCAGGGGCAAGTATGTCAACACCTAACGGCTCATAACCTCTTGGCCCCAACGCAGCATAGGTTCACCGGGAGAAGATCATGTCTGACTGACTTGCTCACCTTTTTGGATGAGGTAACTAAGAGGCTTCACTAAGGTCAGCAGGTTGAGGTCTGCTGCCTCGACTTCTACAAAGCCTTCGATTCAGTCAGCCACAGGTTACTAGACCTCAAGCNCAGCAGGTTGAGGTCTGCTACCTCGACTTCTGCAAGGCCTTCGACTCAGTTAATCACAAGTTGCTAGACCTCAAGCTACAAGATGCAGGATTACATGGGGCAGCGAGAAATTGGCTAGTGCAGTTCCTCAGTCATCGCACGTTCTGTCTGAAGGTTGACGATTATCTGAGCGAACCTGCAAGAGTAACAAGCGGGGTGCCTAAAGGATCAGTTTTAGGACCCATACTGTTTTTAATTTACATCAACGACTTGACACTGGATCTCTAAAATCCATGTTTCATGTTCGCGGACGATGAGAAGTTAGCAGGAACAAACCTAGAGAATGATGTAGAAGCGGTTAGACAATGGTCAATTCAGTGGGATTTACCATTAAATCTCGAAAAGTGTCAGCTCCTAA